TTTCTTTTCATCCCCCTTTTCTTTCCTTCCACTGGCAGTCACTATGGAACATAGGTACAGCCATTCTATTGCCCTGCTTCCCGGTTGCCTGGAAGTGGTTAATGCAGTTGGCTGAAAACGCAGGGTTGCTTTTTAAAAATGTTGTTTCATGTGTATTCAGCCTGCCCCTTCCAAGGCTGTTCGAGGTCACAGCAGTTTGCCATGGAAATGACTTGGTGTCTTGGAGAAATGTGACAGACAGCGAGAAAGCCAGAGAAAAATGAAGATCTTTGCGGCACGCAGGTGCCTTGTACACAAAATTCACCAATCAGAAGCCCCATCATTATGGAAATTGCCCTTTTATGCTACCTTTGAAAGACTCAGATGCTCACACTCAGGTCTGCGCCCAATCAGTGGCTCTCAAAACCATCCACCAAAGCTTCAACAGCCTTGAAAGTTCTAACAGCACCGGTTAATTAACAGTTACTAGCTAAATAAAAACAGTCAATTAGGAAGAATTCCATCTGGGAGGGGAGGAGAAAAGTTTTAACAGCTACGTAGGCTAAATGCTCTCCAGGAGATGTGGAAAGCGCCCAGGAGGATGTATTTTCGTACCATTCTTGGATGCATCTAGTTTTTAGTGGTTTTGTGGTTTTACTGGCTAATTCTTTTCTTGTAAACATGTGGTTGACCTTTTTTTTTGGTTTCTTTTTCTTTTTGGTTCAATTTTTGTTTTATATTTGGGCAGAAAATATCCTTTCATTTTATTATGCCTCTGGGGTTTTTTGACCAAAAAAGAAAATAGATTGGAAAAGTAATACTTGCATTTTTGGTAAACACATACAGACAGCCTCAATAGGGTGAAAGGATCTGCAGAGAAGAGCTAGTCTTCCCTTTTCCTGTTATGTGTATTTTTTCTTACTGTTCATTTGCTCAGTCATGTCCAGCTCTTTTCGACCCCATGGACTGTAGCTCACCAGGCTTCCCTGTCCCTTACCATCTCCCAGAATTTGCTCAAACTCATGTCCACTGAGTCGATGATGCCATCCAACCATCTCACCCTGTCACCCCCTTCTCCTCCTGCCCTCAATATTTCCCAGGATTAGAGTCTTTTCCAAAGAGTCGGCTCTTCACATCAGGTGGCCCAAGTATTAGAGCTTCAGCTTCAGCATCAGTCCTTACAGTGAGTATTCAGGGTTGGTTTCCTTTAGGATTGACTGGTTGGATCTCCTTGCAGTCCAAGGGACTCTCAAGAGTCTTCTCCAACACCACAGTTCAAAAGCATCCATTATTTGGCACTCAGCCTTCTTTATGGTCCAGCTCTCACATCTGTACATGACTACTGGAAAAACCATAGCTTTGACAGTTTTGACTACATGGACCTTTGTTGGCAAAGTGATATCTCTGCTTTTTAATATGCTGTCTAGGTTTGTCATAGCTTTTCTTCCAAGGAGCAAGCATCTTTTAATTTCATTTCATGTGTATGCTTAGTTTATATTGATTGTTTTTTTTTTTTCAGGAATATTCTCTGTGTATACAAGCATGCTGCCCCAGAGCATGGATGAGATATAGGAAAGGTTGGAGGTCAAGCACATGGGTGTCAAAGCCAGACCTCCTGGGTTCAGATCCCTACTCTGCACTTTATTGTCTGGCTCTGTGAGTTTGACTGAACGCTTCTGTAACCCACCCCTAGAGTGGTTGTCAGCTTCTAAAATGCACCCCCAAGAAGACAGCCCTCAACAATCCCCACTTCATCATATCTACTTCCTTATGTAATCATCTCCCCACAAGTGTGGGCTGGACCCTTCTTTCAATGACATCAGAACTGATGAGGGACTTCCCTCGTGGCCCAGTGCCTAAGACTTCATGCTCCCAATGCAGGGGGACCAGGTTCAATCTCCGGTCAGGGAACTAGATTCCACATGCTGCAGCTAAGATCAAAGATCCCACATCCACAATGAAGGTCAAAGAGCCTCTGTGCTGCAGCTAAGACCTGCAGCAGCCAAATAAATTTTTTTAAAAAATTTAAGCTAAAAAAAAGAAGAATTGATAAGATGTCACTGCTGAGCTTAAGTGACAAAAGACAGTGGCTTCTGTCTCAAGTGCATGGGGGTGGCCAACTGCCTGGTCCCTCATGTCACGTCAAAAGGACACACAAGCTGCTTGTTAAACAGCCCATGGGGTAAAGAACAGAAGTCTCCAGCCAGTAGCCCTCGGGGAGGTGAGACCTGCTAACGACTACAAGAGTGAGCTTAGAGGTGAGTTCTTCCCCATGGGGAGGCGCTGTCTGATGGGTGTAAAGTTTCAGTGTTTCAAACTGGATAAGTTCCAGAGATCTACTGAATAGAGTGGTATCTGCAGTTAACAATTCTCTGTCATAAGCTTGAAATCTTGTCAGGAGGATATATCTCATGTTAAGTGCTTTTACCACAAGCTTAGAACACAAGTTTAGAAAGAAAAGGAAGAGAGAAAGGAAGGAAGAAGGAAAGGAAGAAGAAAGGAAGAACAAAATGGGTGGGAGGAAGGAAAGAAAGAGGGGGGAGGGAAGGAAGGAAGGGAAAAAGAACGTAAGACTCTTTCTCCACTCGAGTCTTCAGATAAGAGCAGCCGACAACTTGCCCACAACCTTCTGAGAGACTGTGAACTAGAACCACCCAGCGAAGCTGCATCCAGGTTCCTGACCTACAGTAACTATCTGAGATCATGAATGTTTGTCATTTAAACTGCTAAATATGGGGATGATTTGTTGTGCAGCAAGAGATAACTCATATGTAACATGTTGGACCAATAATACGAGTTATCGTGAAGAGGAATTGAGAATATATTGACAAATGATAGGGAATTACCTGGCACATCATAAGCACTCAGTAAGTGTTTACGTATTTACTTTAAAAGGTAATACGTGTGTAAGTTTATCTCCCTTTGAAACAAATATCCCCTTTTAAAAACACTGTCAACAGAGTTCAGTGTTCTGTGTTTACATTTTTGTCATTTAATGTGTAGATCACAACCATTCTCCAACATCTGCCCATACTGCTGCATCTCATCCTTTTTCATGGCTGTATAATGGTCTACTGCTTAGCTGAATGCTACTTCAAGACTTGTCTTTGCAATCATTCGGTGCTGAGGTTTTAAACTCTGGTTCTAGGAGACCAAGTGTTCTCTGGTGTCCCCCGCCTTGAATTAAAACTGCTCCCCTTTCACCAGTCTAACCCCAGACCCAGACACCTAATCCTGCATTGACTCCTCACTTCACAAGTCTTCCATGAGAACACACCTGCAGCTTCATCGTGGGATTGTTTGCGGCAAAGAAGTTTATTTCAGAGCCACCTCCTTGGAAATGCTGTGCTGTGTTCACTCAGTTGTGTCTGACTTTACAACCCTATGGACCGAAGCCCCCAAGCCCCCCCGGTCAACGGAATCCCCAAGCAAAAAAAACGCAAGGGGGTGCCGCTTCCTCCTCTGAGGGATCTTCCTGACCCAAGGATGGAACCCATGTCTCTTGCATCTCCTGCATTAGTAGGCAAAATTTTTTACCACCGCACAACCTGGGAAGCCCTCCTTGGCAATATACCAGAACAGTTCTTTTTTCCCTTTTTGATTTTACTTTTTTTAATTGAAGTATTAATATAATTTATTTACAATAGTGTGTTCAGCTGAACAGCAAAGTGATTCAGCTATACGTTTGTATATTTCCAGATTCTTTTCCCTTATAGTTGGTTATTATAAAATACTGTGTAGTTCTCTGTGCTATACAGTAGGTCCTTATTGGTCATCCATTTAAAATATGGTAATGTGTATATGATGGGCTTCCTTGGTGGCTTAATGGTAAAGAATCCGCCTGCAATGCAGAAGACACAGGAGATGCAGGTTCGATCTCTGGGTCGGGAAGATCCCCTGGAGGAGGTCATGGCAACCCACTCCAGCATTCTTGCCGGGAGAATCTGCATGGACAGAGGAGCCTGATGAGCTGCAGTCCATGGGGTTGCAAAGAGTCAAGCATGACTGAAGCAACGGAGCATGCATGTACACAGTGTGTGTATGTTAACAGCAGCCTGTTAATTTATCTCTCCCCTCCCAGGACAATTCCTAATAGTAAATTGCATTTCCCAAGGTGAGGGGTGTTAGTCAATATTATGAGGGGAAAATAGGTCACTTGGTTTAATAGGTTTGGAAAATACCAGTTAGATAGAATTAACCTTTTTACTAATGTTTCTGTTTGTTTTGTGGTTTTTTGGTTTTCTTTTTTTTCTAATAATAATGAAAGCTCTTGTGCACCTTCAGGATCCCTAGCACTTTCCGGAGCTCATCCCACTGAATCCTCGTGACACTCTCACGATGTAGGTCTTCATTGGAAATCTTTCTCTACAGAACAGCAAACTGGGGTTTACAGAGCTATGTGATTTGCCCTCAAGCATGCAGCTAATGTCCAGAACTTTGAATGGTTCCAAAGATTGGAATCATAACTAGGATGCAGTTGCAGGACTTCTCAGGGCCTTTAATAAGCTGCTGGACCCTGGGCTCTTTTGACCACAGAGCCCGTTCTTCACAGCAGATCTGTCTATAGCAAGACTCCTTCAGGACAGGGTAGTGGGCACTCAATATCAGTCCATCTGCACCCCAACCTACACCTCCAACAGCTAGAGTGACCAACCATCCAATTTGTTCAGGGTTGAGGTGGTCCTTGCCATGTAGAACTTTCAGGTTTAAAAAGTTGTTATTATTCAGATACAATTCACATGTCTTGAAATTCATCATAGTAAAATGGATAACTTACTGATTTCCAGCATATTCAAAATGTGGTGCAACCATCCCCTTTGTTTAATTCAAGAACGTTTCTGTCAGCCACCATGAAACCCGCACGGGGGTGGGGGGTCTTAAGAGGGAGGGGATATGTGTATACATATAGCTGATGCACGATGTTGTTCAGCAGAAACTCACAACATTGTAAAGCAATTATACTCCAATAGTTTAAAAAGTAAACTTATTTTATTTTATATATTTATTTGTGTGTGTGTGTGTGTAAAACAGCCTGTTTATTGGGGCAGCATCACTCCTTGAGGGAGAAATGCATCTTGTCGTTGATCATCTTGCGCTCAGGGTTCAGGCGCTTCAGGATCTGAGCCAGCACATTCACTGTCTGCTCGCTGCTCAGCCCCGTCTTCTTGGTCTGAAACTTTTTCAGCAGGGACTTGGTGGTCATGGGCTTCCGCGTCAGGTAGCGGCGCACGGCGTCTTCGGTCACTTGAACGTCGTCGTCTGACTTCCCAGACTGGGGCTGAGGAGTGGATTTCCCGTACAAGCTCTGGGGCCCGGTGTCCAGTTGTAGCCGCTTGGCTGCCGGCGTTTCGCTGGGGCGCTTCCCCTGCTCCAGCTTGCTGGCGGCTGCCCGGAGGGTGGAAGAAGCACTGCCCGCCTCAGTGCTGGGCGTGCCTGGCCGGCTGTTACCCCGGGAACTGCCCCCTGATGGCTTCCGCTCCCTTTTGGGGGGCGTCTTCTTTTTCGCCATGAAGAGTGCCGAGGAGGCTTCGCTGTCGATGTCACTCTCCTCCAAGCTGTCGGACTCCTCGCTGCTGTCTGCAAGGGGCCAGAGGAGGGGGCGTCAGGACTGGAGACCCCTGAGCCAGCCCTCGGCCCTGTCCCAGATCGGGGCTCAGAGGGGCCAACCCACCTTTCCTCCGCTTCTTCTCCTGCGGCGTGGGCGCCTTCTCCTCCTCCTCCTCCTCCTTGTCCTCCTCGGGCAGCTTTTCCTCCTCGCTGTCTTCACTGCTCTCACTCTGCTCGTCCACGCCCTTGGGACCCTCCTCCTGCTGGGTGACCTTGGGCTTGCCCTCCAGCTCATCCTGGGAGCTGCTGGAGCCGTCGGACATGTAGTCCACCTCCTGGCCCTCGAAGTCCCCGTCATCATTGTCCTCAAAGGCTTCATCATCTGAGCCCTTCTTCTTCCGGCCCCCCTTCCTGAGCAGTGCCTTCTTCTTGGCCTTGGGGGCTCTGCCACCCTCCTCGCCGCTGGCCTCGCTGTCATCGGACGACATCTCCAGGTCGTCCTCCAGGTCGTGGATGCGCAGCTCGCTGGCCTTTTTGCGGCTGCGCTTCTCCTTCTCCTCGTCCTCCTCGTCCTGGTCCTGGTCTTTCAGTCGCCGCTGCTGCATGATGCTAAAGTGGTTCAGGACCTTGTTTCTCCTCTCCCACTCCTCCTCAGCCTCCTCGGCCGTGAGCGTGCGGTGCTTGGCCAGCGGCGTGAAGTTATACCAGTTGTGCACAGGGAAGGCCTCGAAGCCCTTGAACTTGCGGCCCGATTTGCCGTTGACCCGCAGCAGCCAGGGCTGGTCCTCTGGCCGGAACTCCTTGAGGACAATGCCGTACTTCTTCCTCCGTGCCTCCTCCCGGAGCTTGCGATGGAACTCGCTGCCGGCACCCGACTCAGGCATCTCCTCCTCTTGGTAAATCTTCTTGTTGCTCAGGTCTCGTTCCAGCCGGGCCTGATTCCAAGTAGTGAGGTTGACTTTATCGGCTGCATTCAAAGCCATGATATTGTATTTTTTGGTGGTATTTTTGGGGACTCGGACGACATACTCAGTGACATTCTGGCTGCTGGGGCCGAGGGCCGCCATGGGCGATGGGCGATGGGCGATTGACCCGAGTCCGGCCAGAACCTCTATCTTTACACCTCCCTCGGGGTGCACGTCCCTCGGTCCCGCGGAGGCTGCCCTCGAGGTGTTGGGTCTCTGGCCTCGATCGCGGACCCTAAACCCGGTATACAACCGATCCTGGGAAAAGCTATCCCAAGGCCGAGCTGGGTCGGCGATCAGTTTGAGACCGCCTGTGCCAAGTCTGCGCCTGCGCAGCCGCCTAAACTGGAATCGAAATCCCCCTGCAGGCCTAGTCGAAGTAACCTACTCCGAACTGAAGGCAGCGCCTTCTTATATATAGCGCCTGCTAATCCCATCAAGCCGATAACCTCATCATGCGGATAACCCAATCAGGTGGTGTGGGGACGCCCGCAGTGACCAAACTTAATTTAAAGGCTAAGCATAAATCCTAGAGGAACCCTTCCAGGTTCATTGTTCAGTCGCTAAGTCGTGTCTGAGTCTTTGAGACCCCATGGACTGCAGCATGCCAGGCTTCCCTGTCCTTCACTCTCTCCCGACGTTTGTTCAAACTCATGTCCATTGAGTCAGTGATGCCATCCAACCATTTCATCCTCTGTGGTCCCCTTCTCCTCTTGTCCTCAATCTTTCCCAGCATCGGGGTCTTTTCCAATGAGTTGGTTCTTCGAATCAGGTGACCGAAGTATTGGAGCTTCAGCTTCAGCATCAGTCCTTCCAGTGAATATTCAAAGTTGATTTCCTTTAGGGTTGACTGGTTTAATCTCCCTTCCATATCTTTCCTGGATTAGAATCAGAGGCTTAAACGCCTTCATACATGCACAGAATTGCATTCTTTTTTTCACCTGTGTTTTCCTAATGGAAGCATTCTGTGAGGTTTCTGCCCATCTTGCCTCAAGAGATTTCAGGCAACAAAGGACTTGAAAGCAGCGTCTTGATGAGATATTTGCACACCCTTGCTCATTAGCAGGCCTGAGTCATAGGTGGAAGCCACTCAAGTGTTTGTTGATGGATGAAAGGATAAAATGTGATCCATCCACACAATGGAACATTATTCAGCCTTTAAAAGGAAGGAGATTCTGACACACACTGCAGCATGGATAAACTTCAAGGACATGATGCTCAGTGAAATAAGCCAGTTACCAAAGGAGATATACTGTCTGATTCCACTTATGTGAGGTCCCTGAGGGAGTCAGACCCACAGAGACAGGAAGTAGATGAAGGAAGTGGCCATGCATGGTGGCCAAAAAAGTAATAATAATAATTTTTCTTAAAGTTATGGAGATGGGTGGTGGAGAATTGCATAAAAATATGAATGTACTTAGGGCCACTGAACTTCATTCTTACAAGTGGTTTATGTATATTTTATCTCAAACTAAAAAAAGAAAACTTTGAGATAGATTCAGCAAGAAATTGTCACCTACAGGCCTGGTATTCCACCATCCATGTTTTCAACAGTGATTTACTGAGGAAGCCCAATTGTTCCAAGCCCAATTCTAGACCAAGGTTTCTCAGGCTCAGCGCTGCTGCCTTTGGGACCAGATCATTCTCTGTGGTGCCACCCTGTGCATTGTAGGGGTGCGACTTGCCCTGCTTCTACTGGCCAAATGCCGGTCGCGCTCCCTCCCCCAGTTGTGACATCATAAATGTCTCCATCTGGGGGGCAGAATCATCCCAGATGAGGACCCCTGGGTTAGGGAGTTCCATGGACCTTCCCCCACAAGATAATCTGTGTTCTGTGACCATCTGACCTCTGGATGTCCTAGAATGCTGCACACATTTCAGTACACAAACTGAGTGGAGAGGGAGAGAGGAGGTAATTCACAGATGCTGGGAGTGGGTGGTGGGTAGCACCCAGGTTTACAGGGTTTAACCCACTGAGAGTTCATTCTGCTGCACGGTGCAGACCAGGATCAGACTCAATCCTTTCCCCTCGTACTTTAATGGCAGGTTTCCTAGTCAGGCCATTGTTGGCATCTGAGGCCAGATAAATTCTCTGTGGTGGGGGCCTTTCTGTGAACTGTTGGGGTTGTTGAGCCGCATTCCTCATCTCTTATCTATATACTCGATGCCAATGGCACCCCGTAACGGTGGCCGCCAAAATGTCCCCAGACATTGCCAAAAGTCCCCTGTGGGGCAGTCACTGTTGCTTTAAAAAAAAATCTATGCTTAAAAAATATATATGTATTTATATTTATTTATTCAAATTTATTTATTAAATTTTATTTTTAAATTTTAAATTTATTATTAAATCATTTATTAAATTTAAATATTTATTTATTTACTTACTTACTTACTTATCGGGTCTTATCTGAAGCACGCAGGATCTTTTATATTTTTTTGGCTGTGCCGGATCTTCGTTGCTGTGCACGAGCTTTCTCTACTTGGAGTCAGCTGGTGCCACTCTCTAGCTGTGGTGTGCAGGCTTCTCCTGTTGCAGAGCATGAGCTTTAGGCGTGCGAGCTTCAGTAGTTGTGATGCACCCAATCGGTTACTCCGAGTCATGTGGGATCTTAGTTCATCGACCAGGGATGGAACCTGGGCCCCCTGCATTGGGAGCTCATAGTCTTAGCCACTGGACCGCCAGGAAAGAGCCCCCACCCGCACCCCACCCCCCAAAGCTCTGATTTAGAGTACAGGATTGAGAGTAGATAGAAGAGGTCCCTGATCTAAGGGAATTTATTTAGACTAGAGGACACAGGGAGAGGCAACACATGGAAAAGCAAATCAAACAGGGCTGGAAACTGCAGTTACAGCTGCAGCCCCAAGACACGAAGGTTCTGGAATTCTCCAGGGAGGCGCCAGCCCAACGGGAATGTTTTCAGAGGAAATAACTGAGAAAGAGGATCCCAACTCTACAGGCTAGTCACCAACCCAGAGGGTACAGAAGGGCAAGAGCAGACACTGGAAGAGAACTTTTATTTATTTTTAATTTCTATTTTATATCAGAGATTCCCTGGAGGAGGAAATGGCAACCCACTCCAGTATTCTTGCCTGAAAATTTCCATAGACAGAGGAGCCTGGCGGGCCACAGTCCATAGGGTGGCAAATAATCAGACACAACCGGGGGACTGCGCACACATACACAGAGGTGATTAACCATGTGGTGACCATTTCAGGGGTACAGCAAAGTGAGTCAGTGATACATATACATGCATCTATTCTTTTTCAAATTATTCTCCTATTTAGGTTATTACAGGGTGTTGAGCAGAGTTCGCTGTGCTATACAGTAGGTGGCAGAGGATAAGATGGTTAGGTAGCATCACTGATCCAATGGACATGAATTTGAGCAAACTCTGGGAGATAGTGGAGGGCAGAGAAGCAGTCCATGGGGTTGCAAAGAGTTGGACAAGGCTTAGCAACTGAACAACAGCCACAACAATAAGTCCTTGTTGGTTATTATTTCAAACGCAGTAGTGTGTACTTGTCATCTGAAACTCCCAATCTGTCCCTCTTCCGCTTCACCCCTGGTAAGCATAAGTTCAATCTCTAAGTCTGAGTCTCTTTTTGTTTTGTAAATAAACTCATTTTTATCATTATTTTTAGATTCCACATATAAGGGATATCATACAGTATTTGACTTGATTCCCTTAGTTTGACTCTTTACAGGTCCATCGATGTTGCTGCAAATGGCATTACTTAACTTTTTAAAAGGATGTCTTGGGCAAAAAATATCCGGGTGCTGAGGGCTGGGTGCACAGAGGGTTCTGGTTACCCCTCCCTCTGGTATGGAGAATGGTGGTCAGTGGGCGTGCTTGAAGGGCATGTCTGGGCTCCAGGGAGAACCCCTGGGAGCAGGGAGTGGGTGATGCTGCTCTTCCAGGGAGGCGTGCTGGACTGGTGTCCGCTTCCTGGCAGAAGCTGCAGGGCAAGAGGTGGGCTGGTTGTTTTGGCAGCTGAGCCAAGGCAACTTGCTGCTAAATCAGGATGGGCTCGCAAACAGCGGGTTTGTTTGGGAAGAGGTGTGCATTTCTCAGGAACTAGATGAGCTCAGAGAGCTGGCATGGGGGAACTTTAGATCTTGTCCCGGAGCCTCTCCTGGCTTCCCTCCACGGAGGTTCAGCAGGCCATGGGGCCTGAATTCCTAGGGACCAGGGAAAGAGGAAGGGGAGGTCAGTGTTGCGAGTTTGGTGGGGTAAAGGGAAAGATAGGTGGCAGCCCACCCACCAAGATGGGGCAGGGTCGGTGGCTTGTATCCAGGGGAACTTGACGAGATCTCTTGTACCTGATTTATTGCTGTGCTGTTGCCATCTTGAAGTTCGTGGTAACTTTCAAACAAGCAGCCTTCTACAGGCTGACAGGGGCAGGTGGAGCTCAGTTATTTTATCTCCAGAGACTTTAGACTTCTCCCAGGAGCTAATAAGCCAACCAGCGCCATTTGTTGGCGAGACCTATTCTTTCCCTATTAATAATCTTGGCATGCTTGTCAAAAGATCAATTGATCATAAGTGTGCAAGTTTATTTCTGGATTCTCAGTACAGTTCCACTTATCTACATGTTTAGCTTTATGCCAGTAACACAACTGGAGCTTTGTAGTAAGTTTTAAAATTTGGAAGTATAAGTCTTCTGACTTTGTTCTTCTTTTTCAAGACTGTTTGGGTTATTCTGGGTTCCTTGCATTGCTTTATGAAATTTAGAATGAGCTTCTAAATTTCTACAACAACAACAACAAAACCCAGCTGGATTTTGAGAGAGAGTACATTCAGTGTGTAGGTCAGTTTGGAGAATATTAGCATCTTAACATGAAATCTTCTGATCCATGGACATGGGATATCCTTTATGTGGTTCTTTAATTTCTTTCAATGCTGTTGTGTTTTTTGGATTTTGGTTTTTGTTTTGTTTTTAGTTATCATTGTATAAGTCTTGGCTTCTTTAGTTAAATTCATTCCTAAGTCTTTTGTTCTTTTTGGTGTTATTATAAATCAAATTCTTATGCAGGAGACACGAGTTTGATCCCTGGGTCAGAAAGATCCCCTGGAGGAGGGCACAGCAACCCACTCCAGTGTTCTTG